GGGGGTGGGGGTGGGGAGCAGAGAGGGCGGAGGGAGGCGGGGAAGAGAAGGTTATTTACACACAGATAGCGGCACTTAGTGTGTGTGATCAGAGGTGGGGGGATGGGGGGAGGGGAGCGACGACTCTGCTGCAGAGGTCCTGGCAGTATTTTCTCTGTTCACCTCATTTCAAGGGCTTCCTGAGTGCTGATGAACCAGGAAGGCTCCAAAGCTGGAGTGCTGGTGGGAGCATTGGACTGCGTCAGCCAGAGAGGGTCTACAGTACCAGGAAACCCAAAGCGAATCCAGAGGGGTCTCCCGGGCACGGCTGAGGGGTGCTGCGGCAGGCACTCTAGACCAACAAAGACACATCCACGTGGCTCTGCTGCAGGAGACAGCCAGTGCTGCCAGGCGGAGTGAGAAAAGGAAAAGCCCAGGGCTGCAGACAGGGAAGCCTCCTCCCTGCAGAGACCACCCCCCACCTCCGTCCCCATTGGCCTGCAACGAGGCTGAAGCCTGACAGGGCAATGTGCCCTGGGTTTCTTCTGTCTGTTCTCACAAATCTCCACACGGGTCCTGTCGTTAACCCTTCAATCCTGGGATTCTCAGACTGCAGACCATCAGAGGCTGGAGGTGTGGTGTTTCATTTTGCACAGAGTCAATGTTTTGATTCTCTGAGCACGCTGGGGCATGGGTACTTAAGGCTCACGTTTTTCTTCATATCCTGGTATTTGCCCAGTCACCTCTTAATTTTAAAGGCATTAGGCAGAAGACTGCGCTGCCATAAGTGGAAATCCCGGCGTTTTGGAGGTGACCAGTGCCCGCTGATGGCAGCGATCTGTGCGAGGCGTCTGCTTGACGTCACTGTTTGACTAGCCGAGTGGGGTTGGCTTAAAAACATGTCCCCGGGATGCCAAAACTAATCATGCTTGAATTCCCATTCCCGGTGGACACACCAGAACAGCTCTAGCTTTGGTCATTATTCTTCGTGTATGTAGCCTCTCCTAAATGTGGTAGACACTTCTGAGAGCCAGGATAAAAGCAATTTATGCTTTGGAACTTGCAATGTGGAAAAAAAAAATAAAGAGAGGTGGGGGAGCGAACTCATGCTGGTAATTTAAGGGACCAGTTCTCCTCTACCCTGGAGTCGCCACCAATACCCCTTTACAGAGGCAGAAACAAGATCCCAAAGCAGGGGCAACTTATCCAAGGATCTAAAATTCAAGACCAAAGCCCTGCCTGCACAGTGCTTGCCTCGTGTGTCCCGAGTTCACATCCTGGGCTACTGTTTAACACACACAGGGTAAAGGGATTAGAATAGCTTTCAAACAGACGTCCTAGGCAGGATTCTACTGGGCACTCCATGACTCTTTTCTCAGTTCATCTTCACAAAATTGTGAGGGGGTGAGGACAGTAACTTCGAAGGGTCTCCCTGACAGAGGGTGGCCAAGCCAGAATTTGAACCAACCTAGGTCAGCCCAAAGTAACCTCTTCTAAAGGTAACAAACAGAGCAGGAGATGGAGAGACGCCTCCTTCAAAGGGAATTTCTGAGCCCTTTGTGTACACAGGAAGCTACACACCTGAAGTTCTTTTCATGCCTAGAGTTTAAAGCTCTCCCTCAAATACTGTGATCCCACCCCCACCCCCGAGCCAGCCCCTCCCCCACCCCCAGAGGCGGAGGAGATGACTCAGCAGGTAAGAGCACTTTGTAAGCGAGCACCCAGGTTCAGATCCCCCAAACCCATGAAAACCCGATGGGCGAGGTTGAGCACACACCTATAAATCCAGGGGTGGAGGAAGTGGGGGGGTTGCAGAGACAGAGAGAGAGCTGGGGCTTTCTGAGTAGTATCCCAGCTCAGGGTCCGTAAGGGACCTTGTGTCAAGGGAGGCATGCCAAGAGTGATAGAGCCCCTCAGAGAGTATGAAGAAGTGCGCGCGCGCGCGCGCGCCCACACACACACACAGAGCACACATGTACAGTAAGGAGTTAGCTCCATGGTAGAGTACTTGGTACAGCATGTGAGAAACCCTGGGCTCAATTCCCAGCATTGAGAGACAGAAACAGCCACCTGAAACCATAGCAGAGACGCTGCCAAAGCCTGGCCATGACCATGACTCTGCTCCCCTGGGGCCAAGAAGACTGCTTCCATTTCCAGCCAAGACACACAGAACGCTGGACACACAGAATGCCAACAATCTAGGCTTCTCCGTAAGGCTGGGTCAGGGGGGAAGGTGTCACTCACTGTCCATCAGGAATCACCTCAGAGGTGGCCCTATGTGCGAGCACAGGTAGAAAATATGCTTGAACAAGAGCAGCACGCCTTTACACTTTCCTTGTCTATCCTTGGCTGTTTTCCAAGCACCATCAAAGGTATGAGTGTGCACAGACAGTGTAATTACCCCACTCAGCCCAGTGTTTCACGTTCTGTTTTGTTTTGAAGCTAAACTGAATCTGCTCTCAAAGAAGCTCCATGTGTAATGTCGCAGGGAGCTGGGGCTGGAGATCTCTTCCACCACCCCGTATCAGCTGTCACATACTTAGCCTCACTTGTGTTCTCTGAAAGACTCCTGCCCCACTGCTGAGCCACAGACACTTAATCTATTCTGAAAGTGCCACTGACATTTTTCTCTGCTCCGAGTGGGTGTGCTTTAAATAGTAGCGGTAAATGGTCGGTGTTGTCACATCTGGTTCAAAGGGGTGCTCTGATTTCCTCTCATCCTATTTCCAAAGACGCTTAAAACATAAAAACAAACCACAGGGAAGGGTGGTTGCAATCATAGAAGGTACTAGAAAAGCCTTCTTCGTTCTGGGAAGAATTCTTTTACTGTCTCCTTGGTAAAAAAAAAAAAAAAAAAAAAAAAGTCGAGTTCCTGAGGAAAGTTCCACCCAAATTCCATGTCTACCTCTTCAGTCTCATTCCCTTCCCTTGACACAGACAGCTCAGAGGTGAACTCAGATGCTGTTCAGCGGAGGATGCCTAATGGGAGCCAACTGGCCAATTTCAACTCAGCTGAACAAGGGATGTATTTTCGTAGCTAGGACTCACTGACATGCACACTGCCTGTAATTCCAGGGTTCCTAAATTCCTATGAAGTCAGGCTGAAAGGGTGGGATAAATGGCCATGTCTCATCTCACTCTGCCAGATGTGAGCACAACTTCTTGAAGGTTGGAAAGATGGGGAGAAAGGACAAGAAAGTCTACTTGGAGAAAATCCTCTATTTCCTGTTCTTGACTAAAATCCTTTCTCCACCCAGGTTAGGTGACCTCTTCTAATCACCCAGAGTCCTGTAAAAATGTAGGTATTTGAACTACACCGTATATGCTGCTGGTGATAAATAACAAGAACTGAGTCACATCAAGCCCTCAAGCAGTGTCCTGCAAAGGGTCAGAACTTGTTTTCCCAAAGCATCATGGGCCAACCACAGGGGCTGACCATGTTGACTTTGTCTATCTTGGTATCAATGCCTACCTATTTTGAAGGCTACATTGCAGCATAATCACAGTCATTCCTACCCTGCCTCTACTGGAAGTCAGATGGGGGTCTTCTCGTTTGATTTTGAGAAATGAGGAAACCAATCCAGAAGAGAAGCTGCCCATCCAGGTCAGAAGAATGAAGGAGGAGGAGGAGGAGGGAGAGGAGGAGAAGAAAAAGATAACAACAAACAAAACAAAAGCCACGAATGAATTTCCCAGCAATGCCTGTAAACACCCTCTACCAAGTTCACTATCACATAGATTCTATTATGTGTTTGTTATGGGGGATCAGACTCACCCAGGGCTTCAAGCATATTAGGTAAGTTCTGCCCCAGCCCCATAACACAACCTTTAAAAAGAAAAAAAAGAAAGAAAGGAAAAAAAAGAGAAAAAAAGCTATTCTCATAAAGTCCTATATGAGTAAATTGCAGTTCCCAAGTTCAGGATTATTTTCCCTTCTGAGAACATAACAGATTTTAAAACCCAATAGGTCTCTCTGTAGAGAGAACATTTTTTTCTAACATTTTTCAAATGTCCTCTGAGAAACTTTATCCATATAATGATACATAGGGCAAGAGGACAGTCATCAGCTGGTTTTCAATGTTAATGGCACTTGTGTCAATAAAGAATTTTTTTTCTCTCATTTGCTGTTGATAATGTCTCACACTATAGCCTTACACTGCCCCTGAACTCACAATGTAGCCCAGGCTAGCTTCAAACTCTCAGCTTCCAAAGAATGGCAATTATAGATGTGAGCTAATAAACTCAGTTAAAAATAAAAATTTAAAAAATAAAAATAAAAAAAGTTAAAAAAAAAAAACCTTTTCATAAAAATGATGCTAAGCCATTCCACTTCATATAAAAGCAAACACCTGATTGTAGTGGTACATGTCTGTCATCCCAGGACTTGGGAGGTGGAGGGAAGTTTATCAGGAGTTCAAGGTCATCTTTAGTTCCATAGAGCCTGAGCTATATGTGAACCCATCTCAGAAAAAAAAGAGAAAGGGGAGGAATGGAAGGCTAACAAAATCCAGTGCTGTGGGAAAAGGCTCCTAATGAAAGATTATTATTTAGCTCCCCATGCAAGAGGTATTGAGCAACAGAGTGAGTCAAAGTGTGAGGGCCTAGTTTCTGTGACAGAGCACCGTGTATTGACCCATGCCCTCCCCTTTGTAAGAGTAGCTAATGAAAGCTGCCTCACTGTTAGGGAAGTCATCCTCTTATCCAGTGTCTTTCTGTCAGGTGCCTCTATGTGGCAAGCATTGTTCCAGGAGAGATGAATAGTCACTGCAGAGGAGAGACTATGGTCAGGATTCAGATGGTCAGTTAAGCCCAAGGCATTGTGGGAGCGTCGAGGGGGTGGGGCAGGGAGTGTGCTGAGGTGGATTTATCAGATTGTATAGGGCTTGGCCTAGAAGAGGTTAGGATAGATCTAAGCCATCCTGAATGCAGCAGTAGTTAAGGGACTGGCAGTTTAGAGAGTCACACATCGCTAGAGGGAATTCAAGAGTCCAGGCAAGGATAAGAATCTAGGGGTTTCTAGGAGAAGGAGGAGTAAGGGAACATCAACCGACTCATCACATTGGATGAGAGAGGGCAAGGGTGGGCACGGTGAGGGAGAGAGAGTATATGTGTGTTATGATGCCATGGCAGAAGTCCGAGGAAGAGACACAGCCAAGACTCGAGAAGGTGGGAGATGAGGACGAGCTCCAAGCTGAGTATCAAGCATCCATTTCTGTTAGGAGAGAGAGTTGGTCTCTGGGAAGGGGAACCTGGGCAGAGGGGCTATCTGTGGGGAGTGCTTGCTGGGTAGACACAGGACCCGGGGGGAAGTGAGCTAGACTTGAGTGATCAGCACGCAGAAACTATGAAGCCAGTGGAAGGATGAGATGCTCTCAGTGAAAACAGGAGGAGGGGAAGGAAGGGGAAAGGAATCCAGGAAACCCCAAGAGAGCTGAGGGAAAAAAAAGAGGGGGAGCTCAGAATGGTGATGAGGTCCCAGATATCAGAAGATGAGGACCAGACTTGAGAGGAAGCTGGTTTCAGAGAGGTCTGACATTCAATGCCACCAGGAACTGGTCCTGAGGCCTCTCTCCCTGTCTCTCACCTCCCAGAAAAGCAGGGGATGCTAGCTTTTTAAAGCATTTTCCATAATTTCACCCTGACAGCCACAGGCCACCCCTGGCGTGTGGTCTTTTCACCAACCAGGATCCTTCTGTCTCAATCCAGGCTAAAGCTCATGACTCAGTATCCACAGCCTTTCTTCCATCAATGACTCAGTCTCTGAGAAACCCTTAAAGGCCGTCTTAAAGATACCTTCTGTGTATCACTGGCAGCCAGGAAAGAAGATAAAGTGACCTTCACCTCAAGAGGAGTCACAGAACCTGTGGGTATCACGTTGTTTCAAGCTTCCCTTCTAGCTCCTTCTGCTCCACCCAAAGTCCCTAAAGGCGCCAAGTTCACAGGGTCTAATTTGTCGCAAGGCTAACGTGGCTAGAGTAGCATTCGACAATCTTGCTACTCTGGCTTCTGAAAACCAGAGGTGGTTTTTCAACAATGAAGAAAAGTGAAAAGCTTTAAAATTCCCTGGAAATGGATTTATAATTAAATATTTACAATTACTTCCAATCTGATATGTGATGAGATTTGGACAGAGGGTGATTTTGTTTCCTCCTCTAGAACCTGTATTCTGGCCAAGACCCTAGCTGAAGGCTGAGGTCAGGGTGTTCTGATGTCATCTGTAAAATGACACTTAGAAAGCTTGTGACAGTTATGTCACAGTAGCAGTTTTAAATTTAAAAAAAAAAAAGGAAAGGAAAGGAAAGAGATCTTTATAAATCTCAAATGTAAATAAAAACCGAAGTTAGAAGCTATTTTTACTCTCACCCTTACTATATCTTGTGTTTAGAGAGCCCCAAGAAGAAGATGGAGGAGATGTTAACAGGATCACACTCTCTGGACATTCACTCATATTTCCAGAATACTTTTAGATATGTTTTATTTCAGAAGAGAATTTAGATCGTCATGAAAAGGTGCTAAGACTCATTGCTGGTGGGACGGACAGATACCTCAGTCTTTAAGAGTGCTTACTGATCTTCCAGAGGACCCTGGCTCAGTTCCCAGCACCCAGGGAGGCGGCTCACAAATGCTTATAACCCCAGTTCCAGGGGATCAGACGCCCTTTTCTGGCCTCCATGGATACCGCTTGCACATGGGGCACGTAAACTCGTGCACAGCTGGAGGTGGTGGCGTATGCCTTTAATCTCAGTAACCGAGAAACAGCAATGGCAGATAGATTTCTGTGAATTTGAAGCCAGCCTGTTTACATTGCGAGTTTCAGGCCGGCCAGAACTACATAGTAAGACCCTGTCTCAAAACCAGCAACAAAAACTCCTGTAAGCACACATATAAACAAAAGTCAATCTTAAAAGGAAAAAAAAAAATGAAATTAGGACTATCCCAGGGGCTGGGAAGGAAGCTCGGTCTGTAGGCAGAGCATAAGAACCTGAGTTCATGTCTCTTGTCCCACTCCAAGGTAAAAAGCTGAGCGTGGCAGCATGAACCTGTAATCCCACTGCTGGGAAGCAAACAGAGGAGGATACCTGAGGCTGGTTAGCCAGCCAGTCCAGGCAAATTGCTAAGTTCCATGTTCACACCTAACAAATAATGTCTGCTCTAAGTCTTAGTCACATCAAGCAGAAGAGACGACTTCCTGATGAGCATGCGGCTACGCCTTCCACAGGTTTGTTCCAAGTGTCCAGGATTTTTTAACATGTGAGTCATACAGTTTATAGAATGTGCCCTTCCAAAGATGACAGGACTTATTCCATACACTGCTGTCAACCCCCTGGCACTCCTCTGGCCAAAGTTGCTCTTCTCTATCTTACAGTTCATATTTCTATTCACTTTTCCAGTGAGTCAAGAAACACCTGCAGTTTTAGCAGTAGACTCAGTCAGCCAAATTTAAATCAAGCTGACTTGAATCATTTAAATCATCAGTCAAGAAAAACTGCTATCTTTTAAAATTAAAGAACGCATGCTCATTTTTGCCACAATGGCGATCAACTTCATGAAACTCACAGGTGGATTATTATTTAAGGATGGGGAGAGGAGATCTCTTCAAATATTCTCATTATTTTATTTTTAATATCATAATTCAGCCCTTCTACATACACATATTGTTATAATGAGAACTGCACTGCACACCTCTTAATGCATTTTTTTCATATCTTACAGCTATTCGAAACCCTACATAGCTGATTCTATATCAAAATTAAATGGAGCATCTCTTTAATAGCCGAAGAACTATCTTCTCAAAGTTAATCATGGATAGTTTTCCAGCATATTAAAATCGAATAACCTTAACCCAAACAACCTACATTTATATTGTTTTTGTTTAAACAAAAAAACAGAATTACTCTGAACCATCAGTCGCGGTGAGATAAGCAGCTGAGATAAGTACCTTTGTTAATCAGCAGTAACACTTATCAATAAACATTCAGTCCTTGATGGTAGTGCTAATTTTAATTACAGCATTAAAATTTACTAGGAAAAATGGATGTTCATGGCAAGCCACAGTCAGCAGATAAGGAATACACTGGCACCTAGGATTGAAATATAAAATTTCAACTAGGACTACATAGTGAGATGGCCGAGCAACTGAGTTTGGACTATCGGGGGATTTGAGTTCAGTTCCCACAACCACCTGCAACCCCAGCGTTAGGGGCTCTAACACCCTCCTTTAGCACCCATGAGCACATAGACACACCTATAGTTCTTACTAAATCTCAAAAATATAAAAAAGAACTGAAATCTTAGCACTCTAAGATCCACATGGTTTTGGTTTGGTTTGATCTGGAATTGTATTTTGTTGAGTTGGGGTCAGGTGATCTGGATGGGCTGGTAAAATTTATTTCAGTAGCTTTGATAGTAAGTACATTCTCATGTTTTGAGATAGTTTTTTTTTTTAATACCTCTTTAAATAATCACAACGAACAAATCCCTATTCCCAAGATTTTACCCTGAATAAACCTATACATTAAAAAAAAAACAAAACTATTTATTTGGATGGGAGGCATAAGTCATCTAAATGTGGAGTCATCCAAATGTGTACATGTGGAGGTCAGGGGACAATTTGAGAGAATTCTTCTCTCCTTCTAACTTGTGAGTCCTGAGGATCAAACTCAGGTAGGTCTTCAGGCGTGGTAGCAAGTGCCTTTACTTAAATGAGCCACCTCACTGGCCCAAAAGCTATACATTTTGGTAAAGCGACTTCTAATACATCTTAAAACTATGTAAGTTTTTCTTTAAAGACACTATCTCAAAAAACAAACAAACAAAATTCCATTCCTTATCCAGACACAGTGCCTCCTGTCCGTAATCCCAGCACTCAGGAAACTGAGGCAGGAGAATCACCAATAGCTCAAGGCTACATAGTGAATTCCAGACCAGCCTAGGAGACAGAATGAAATCCTATCTCAAACACACAACAACAAGGAAATCCGTTCTAAAATATCACATTTTTGATTTAACGATTTTTTTTTTTTGAAATTTACAAATTTGTGGTCTTAAGAACTTATGGGTACAAGCCAGGCGTGGTGGTGTGGGTGGGAAGCAGAAGCAGGATCTTGGTGAGGTCAAGGTCAGCCGTGTCTACATAGGGAACTCCAGGAAAGCTAGGACTACATAGAGAGACCCTGTATCATATATGTGTGTCTGTGTGTGTATGTGTATATATTTACATACATAATATATAAACTAACGCTTTTAGTAAAAAGGATCTCAGACACCTCGTAACAACTCAAGAGGATATGCAAAATTTACAGAAAAGCAACAAAATGAGCTAAGAAACTCAGTTCCTTTGTTTTGCACTTTTGTATACGGTGGAAGTCAGCTCAGAGCCACAGGCGTTTGTGGCCAAATAAACACCCATGACTTAGGGGAAGTTCTCGGTCTCAGCCCGCTGTGAACAAGCACCCTGCAACCTGGTTTCCTATCTCCAGAGCAGATGGGAAACTCTGGGTGTGTCTATGTGTCTATGGCCTCAAGTGTCCCCAGTGGGTGGTGGAGGGCAGCAGACAGAAGCTCTGAGGCTGTTACCTCATCTTGTAAAATCTTCCTCCGGCTTCTTCCTCTCGGCCTTCCGTAGAAGGAAGTCATACCTGACACGCGGGCTCAGCACACGCGGTGACTGAATGGTTACTGTAACCTCACAGTTCTGGTTGCCCTGCCCTGGCCACAGGTCACAATGTGAGCACAGGCCCACATTCTCAGAACTTCCTCCACTCTTTGTCTTCCACTGTGTCACGGGCCTAACTCCACTCACCTTGAAGGATGGCCACGGCGGTGAAAATTCCATCTGCCGCCCAATCTGTACATCCTTCAGGAGAGAACTGGTCATCTTTCACTGCTTATCATCCTCCAACTGCCTCGTTAGAGAAACAAAACAAATTCTCTTTCACTGGTGTGAGGGAGTCTCATATTTTGTCAAACAGAAATGAAAAATAAACGTAATCTAAGCTGTCAGAGAATCATGAAATGCCCCTGGCAGTTCAGTCCGGACTCTTTGAAGAAATGAAACTTCAGTTTATCAAGTGTGATTTATAAGCAACACTGATTTAGCTGGTAGATAACACTGCTGTCGAATCATTAGTAGTCAGACAACAGCCATGTGAACACATCAATTATGGGCCACTGCCAAAAGCCCTTGAGATCTTGGAGATTAACAGCCAATCCTCTGTTTTACAAGCTCACATCAAAAAGAATATTAATAAGAGGAGGGGCGATGTGAAAGCTTGTCAGAGTAATTCAGCCACTAACACAAGGATTTTTTTTTTTCTTCCCTTTGCCTTCTCTGTTGAATTGGGCCCAGGAAGAAGCTGGCAGGCAGCTACAAAGTGCAGTCCTGCCAATTTCTTGGAAAATGTTTTTCACTGACATATGGGAGCTTGTAAGGGTCTGCAAACTGCTATTTGGTGAATAAAGACAAGCAAGACTTCTTCCTGTCCCCTTGCAAATGCCAGGATGACACAAATTGAATCGTTATTGAATTATTTTTAAATTAGCATGCACGGTAGAAATAGCCACTGGCCTACCTCAATCAGAAATTCTGCAAAATCTCCTATGTATTCCGTTCCTAATACTTCTTCCATCCACTGAAACTTAATTAAGAGGCACTACTAGCACTAACCTACACATTAATGAGTTTCTCCAAATTAACACAGTGCTTTCCCATTGTCGAAGACATCACAATGTGTGTGCTAAGACTTCAATGTCTTCTCTCCAGCTCTCTCAGGAAAACAGATATAAATTCACTGATATCTCTAGAATTAGAATCCCACCTGTTTTCCCCACCCACATAGGTAGCATTTACAAAAGTATGTAACGGAGGCACAGCCTTCATTTTAGTCCTCTCCGTCTTTAACTGCTATCAGGGAGGACTGCTGTATTTTTTTGTAAATGATCAGATTAAAGCAAACAGCTGGCAACTAATTGTTTAGCGGGGTTCCAGCAGGCTCCCTAATATATGAACAGAAGCCACCGCAAAATGTGTGGCCTGGGTTTCCCTACCGTTTACAGATTTGTTTGGGCTTGGATCTGTAAAAGACTCTATATTTACAAAGTGTTTTCCTATTCTCTCGTTTGTTGTTCTTCATTTGAAACTCAGCATGGGGTGGTGGGGGAAAAACATCAGGAAAGGGAAGCGAAGCAGGGGGTTCCTGTCACTTCTCCATAGCCTGTCTGGTCCCCAGTAAGCCACTTAATTCAAGGGCTTGTTGACGGAGCATTTTAAATCAAGGAGTCTGCTCTTGGGTTCAAACACTTTGTGGGACCTAAGCAGCCCAGCAGTCTCCGAAGCTCCGGTTTCTCCTTTTGTGTGTTTTTTCCTTTCTCCTAATCCCTGGAAACAGGATCCATAGAGCTCAGTTAAAACCCTAACTTGTGAACCTAGAGGCAACTGAGCAGTCAGGAGGTAATTCAGGCAAGGTTTGTGGCGCTTTTTCATTACAGCAGACATCCCAAGAACTGCTTCCAGCCAGGTGTGGCGACACGCCTTTAATCCCAGAACTCAGGAGGCAGAGGCAGGTGGATCTCTTTGAGTTCCAGGCCAGCCTGGGCTACACGGTGAATTCCAGGACAGCAAGGACTACACAGAGAAAACAAAACAAAAGCAAACAAACAAACAAAAAAAAAGGGGGGGGGGTCTCTTTATAGACCCAGGGTTCTGACATTCATTGAAAACCAGTTTCTTTGCTTGCAAACCAGAGATAATAGCATCTTACGATCTTAGAAAATTGTCATAAAAAATGGACAAGATACTGCTTTGAAAGTCTTTAAACATTAATTGCAGGAGCTACTGTCAAGAAACATTCATTGAGCAGCAAGATTAAAACTTACTGTATCAAGATTAAAACGAATTGACTAGTTCTTTTTATTATGAGGACAGAGCTAGCCTTCTAAGTAAATAATGTGTCTGGGGGGGATGGCCCCTCTCCCTGGGTTTTGCTAATACTATCAGAAGGTTACACCAAAAGATGCAACGATTCCCCATCACTGGGCATCCTCTTTTTCAATAATTCACAGAGAGGATTCTCTTCGCCACTCGTTTTGCTCAAACTATCTTTTTGTTGTGCCAGTAATTTTTGTTTTGGGTTTCAAAACAGGGTGTGACGGCGTAGCCCAGGCTAGCCTCCAACTTGCAAGGCGACTCATACCTCTGCCTCCTCAGAGCTGGGGTTACGGGTGCGAGCCACTTTAAACAACTAAAACCATTAAACGTTAAGAAAGACACAACCGAGTAGAGGCTTTCTAAGAGCCGCAACCATGTTTGTGCAACACAGAAGCAGCAGAATTCATTCAGCTACAACTATACAAACATGCATAAATTTGATCAACTGAATCTATACTAGAAAGTATATTTTTCTAAAAATATTTACACTGGGTGTAGTGGCGCACGCCTTTAATCCCATCACTCCCAGAGGCAGAAGCAGGGGGGGTCTCTATGAGTTCAAGGCTAGCCTGGTCTACATGGTGAGTTCTAGGATAGCCAGAGTTATACAGTGAGATCCTGTCCAATAATAATAATAATAATAGTAACAATAAAAATAATATAATGAATATGCTTAAATAGCATGTTGAGGTTAATGGGTAATTTAAAGGTTAAAAAAAATAAAACCACAGTTCAACTCTTTTTCAGGCATAATCTCACTATGTAAATCCTTGGTTGACTCTTAACTTGCTATAAAGACCAGGCTGGCCTCAATCTCAGAGATCTGTCTGCCTCTGCCTCCTGATTGCCAGGATTAAAGGCGTGCTCTACCGTGCATGACCCACTAAAGCCACTGTTCTTTTCAACAACAGTCATGGCTAATGATTACACAGGGGCACAGACAATGGTGACATATAGAAACCCTCAGATAGGGTAACGTTTCAAGTTCTTCCGTGAATTTTAGCACAGAGGAAAAAGGCTGAATTCAGGCAGGATTTCCTCAGCTCTCATCACACTCCAC